TTATTGCTACTGATGTTAATCAGTTGAAAAAGTTCACTGGTCAGGCAAAGACCTGGTTCTTGAACCCTGTTATTTTTCCATCCTATCAGCTGCGATTTTGCTTACACTTTCTATGCAGGGATCCCAGAAAAAAAAAAAAAAAAAGGAAGATGCCCAGATCAAAAAGTGAAAATATTTTGATCTAAGACTTGTTACATCTTTTTTAGGAGCTTTGACATTGGGAGGGGGGTTGGTGGGAGGGGGGTGTGGTGGATAGAGAGAAGAGAGAAAGGGTTGGGCAGCTTCTATGGCTGTTTATTTATAATCCACAGTAATCAAATTAAAGTGGGTTTCTGGTTCTGACAGTGGTCATTTTGTCTGGAATAAAACTAAACACAGTATTTTCATCACTAACAGCCCTGGAGAACTCTTAACTAATAATCAATCCACACTTATTATCAATTGCAATTTTTGGATGAGCTGATAACAAAAAAAATCCAAGAAAACATAATTTAATTTACAAAAAAAACCCTGAAACTGCTTCCCTCTCCCCTCCCCTGAGCTTGAAACATCCAAATTATTTTATTTTTCTTTCTGTGAAATTTCTGGTTATTATAAACCAGTCAATTTTAATTGAAATTACTTTCTAAACATTCAATGAAAAAATCTGTTTCACAGATGAAGCATGACTCAAACCTATATTTTTCTCTGCAATGATTGTGAAAACTATCCAGGATCCGAAAATTAACACTAAGTTATAAGATTTGAAAAAAAGTCATAGCAAAATTGATATAAAAGTGTGGAAAAGTATACTTTTAGTAATGTTGGAAACTTCTAAATAAATGTTTGGGTTTGTTGATTTTTTGTTTGGTTTGGTTTTTTACTGTTTGTTTGTTTTGCTTTTTTAAATGGTTATTTCAGAAAAAAAAATAACAATTTTTACTGTGAAATTTTCCAACCAGATTTACTTTTCAGGTTCTGTCTTTAAATTCTATCGGGGCATAAATACAAGAAAAGACCCAAGGCTATCAGAGACCTACAGGGAAATGTACTTTGAAAAAATTCCTGTTGGAATTCTTACTTACACGAAGAGGGAAACACTCTGCTGATTTGTGGTTAGAATTTTAACTGGAGATGAGCAAAGTTAAATTACATTTAAAATATCCACCCAACAGGGATCTAACTGCTTGTTTCTTTCAAGCTAGAGGTTTTCTAACTTCAGCTTTCAGAAAGCCAGATGGTACTTTAATCTTCATATTGGCTTCACGGAAAAGACAAACAATTGCAGTATTATCTCAGTGCCATTTGCACAATTAGAGCTAAGGGAGAAAGGGAGTTCCTGCAAGTGCATCCATTACAGCTTCTTTTTTTTTCAGTTTCACATCTGGCCATAGAAATTAATTGTTACTTTCTGAAAAACACGTACACAATAATGATTCTGCATTGCAGCTCTATATGAAAAGCATTTCTGAAACAGAAAAATACTGAGATCAAAACATTTTTATAAAAACTCACTGAGACAGATGAAATAAGCAGGGAAAGACCTTTCCAAAATCTAGTAAAGACCAGAGGTGATAATAAAAGAACTATGTCCCTATTAAACACTTGAAAGTTGTTTGGATATTTTTGCTTGTTTTTGTTTTGTTTTGTTTGGGCTTTTTTTGGTTGTGTTTTGGTTTTGTTTTGTCTTTTAAAGAAAGCCATTTGTGCTTTTAAAAATCAAATCCTCCATAAATCATCCTTAATCATTAGGCAAACCTTAATGTGTTCTTTGGCTCTGTACTCCTACAGGCTGCTTAAGCTGATGATTAACAGTATGCCTACACCCTATTAGAAGCTTCATTAATTTAAGGAGGCTTTCCATATTCTCAGTTTTAAATACTGGTGAATCTGTGTTCAGATAACTGGTGAAAGAACTCAGTCTCCTACTTAGTTGGTACAAGTTTAAATGCAGGGAATAAAAACTTCTGTCAAATGCTGTGTGGTGAGGGAACAGTGCTGACTGGAAAGATGGGGAGCATCTTCCACCCCTGCATGGTCCTTCCTTCCTCCCCAAAATTCTTGCTGACTGCAGGGAGAGGGAACACTGCTTCAGGCCCTCTCAAGGAAAGGCACTATGCCTCATACAGCTAACCAGTAGGCTCAGTTCAGAGGATCTCAGATCACTTCTGGTATCCACATCTTCATTCCTTCAGCCTTATTTGTAAATGCCAGAAAATGAAATATTTCTGTTTAGGCTGAAATGGAACTTTTCACTGGAGAAAGGAGGGAAAAAGGTCCAGGTGGATGCTGCTGGACATTTTCCCTGTTTTTTTTTCTGTTCAGCTTTTTCACCAAGCGTAGGTTTTGACAGTATTCTCACTACAAAGAGAACATCTGAACAGCATACAAGAAAAATTGCATTGGCACTGGAACTACAACAGCACAGGCTTCTCTGGCTGAATTCCCTAATGCTTGCCAGAAGATGACACCTAGATCCATTGTGCTACCTCTGCGTGAGCAAAAAAATTCATTTGCACAATTTCAAGTTTGAATTATATTTCACAAAATTATAATTTGGACCTTTCTCCAGCTCCAACCAGTACTGATGATCTGTGATAAAATGCCTAGACAAGAAACAAACCAATTTCTCTACCCAGTGTCTTCCACAGAATCAGGCAGTTTTCCTGTTTCATAATTCAACAGCAAAAAAAAAATATTCCTATCTCAGATCCAGATCACATGATCCAAACTCAAGCATTTAAAAAAAAAAAAAAAAAAAAAAAAGTTAATTTCTGTGATCTGACTTGAGACAAGAAAGTGGTGTGGTAAGCCTCAATATGAGAGTCTAACTACGTTGTCACTGAGCAAAATTATTGCACAATTGTCATAAAATAATTCTTCCCATGCTTGCCATCCTACCTAGCTTTAATCACAAGAACTAAGTGAGAGAAAAGACAGACTACTGTAAGTACATGT